ACACACACACACACACGTTAGCTGGTTAACCTTTGGCCCTTGAAGACTCCCAAGCACCAGCGAATCCACTCCCGCCAATGCTGACAGTTCAAAACTCTGCACCTTAGCACGGGGGCCCCTGGGGTACCTGCGCCAGGAGACGCTTTCGGACGCGACCAGGCGGCACCGTCGAGCCGAGGAAGACGAGACAAGGCGCAATGGCTGGAGCAGGGAGGCAGCCCCGTTCAAAGAGGGAAGAAGCAGCCTGATCCAGGGAGGTGTCGGAACCGGCCACCGGGAGGGTCACAACGGGCCCTTCCGGCCTGAGCATCCGCATCCGTCGCGCTCCGACTCCCTGGCGGGACACAGAAGCGTCAGACGCCGGAGCAGGGGACTCCAGGATCCCGGCTCCTGCAGCTCCCTATCGACTCCCTGGGCACCCAGCCCCTGCTGCCGGAGCCGTGCCCCGGGTACCACTCTGGGCCTGCTCCCTTCTCGGCCCCGGGCCTGGGGGGCGCAGGAAGCTGGAGACCCCAGAAAAGCCCTACGGATCCATCCGCCACAGGCAAAGGCTGTTCGGGTTTGAGACCCCCAGGGTTTAACAGCCCCACCTGGGCGGCTGTGGCACTCGCGCTGCAGAGCGGGGTCGCCCCCGAAAGCGGATGTGCCCAAGTCACTCGGTCTCCCCGGGCCGGTCCCTGACCCCCGCCCCGTCACTGCCACCCCCTGCAGCGGAGGACGTGAGCGGGGTCGCCCCCGAAAGCGGATGTGCCCAAGTCACTCGGTCTCCCCGGGCCGGTCCCTGACCCCCGCCCCGTCACTGCCACCCCCTGCAGCGGAGGACGTGAGCGGGGTCGCCCCCGAAAGCGGATGTGCCCAAGTCACTCGGTCTCCCCGGGCCGGTCCCTGACCCCCGCCCCGTCACTGCCACCCCCTGCAGCGGAGGACGTGAGCGGGGTCGCCCCCGAAAGCGGATGTGCCCAAGTCACTCGGTCTCCCCGGGCCGGTCCCTGACCCCCGCCCCGTCACTGCCACCCCCTGCAGCGGAGGACGTGAGCGGGGTCGCCCCCGAAAGCGGATGTGCCCAAGTCACTCGGTCTCCCCGGGCCGGTCCCTGACCCCCGCCCCGTCACTGCCACCCCCTGCAGCGGAGGACGTGAGCGGGGTCGCCCCCGAAAGCGGATGTGCCCAAGTCACTCGGTCTCCCCGGGCCGGTCCCTGACCCCCGCCCCGTCACTGCCACCCCCTGCAGCGGAGGACGTGAGCGGGGTCGCCCCCGAAAGCGGATGTGCCCAAGTCACTCGGTCTCCCCGGGCCGGTCCCTGACCCCCGCCCCGTCACTGCCACCCCCTGCAGCGGAGGACGTGAGCGGGGTCGCCCCCGAAAGCGGATGTGCCCAAGTCACTCGGTCTCCCCGGGCCGGTCCCTGACCCCCGCCCCGTCACTGCCACCCCCTGCAGCGGAGGACGTGAGCGGGGTCGCCCCCGAAAGCGGATGTGCCCAAGTCACTCGGTCTCCCCGGGCCGGTCCCTGACCCCCGCCCCGTCACTGCCACCCCCTGCAGCGGAGGACGTGAGCGGGGTCGCCCCCGAAAGCGGATGTGCCCAAGTCACTCGGTCTCCCCGGGCCGGTCCCTGACCCCCGCCCCGTCACTGCCACCCCCTGCAGCGGAGGACGTGAGCGGGGTCGCCCCCGAAAGCGGATGTGCCCAAGTCACTCGGTCTCCCCGGGCCGGTCCCTGACCCCCGCCCCGTCACTGCCACCCCCTGCAGCGGAGGACGTGAGCGGGGTCGCCCCCGAAAGCGGATGTGCCCAAGTCACTCGGTCTCCCCGGGCCGGTCCCTGACCCCCGCCCCGTCACTGCCACCCCCTGCAGCGGAGGACGTGAGCGGGGTCGCCCCCGAAAGCGGATGTGCCCAAGTCACTCGGTCTCCCCGGGCCGGTCCCTGACCCCCGCCCCGTCACTGCCACCCCCTGCAGCGGAGGACGTGAGCGGGGTCGCCCCCGAAAGCGGATGTGCCCAAGTCACTCGGTCTCCCCGGGCCGGTCCCTGACCCCCGCCCCGTCACTGCCACCCCCTGCAGCGGAGGACGTGAGCGGGGTCGCCCCCGAAAGCGGATGTGCCCAAGTCACTCGGTCTCCCCGGGCCGGTCCCTGACCCCCGCCCCGTCACTGCCACCCCCTGCAGCGGAGGACGTGAGCGGGGTCGCCCCCGAAAGCGGATGTGCCCAAGTCACTCGGTCTCCCCGGGCCGGTCCCTGACCCCCGCCCCGTCACTGCCACCCCCTGCAGCGGAGGACGTGAGCGGGGTCGCCCCCGAAAGCGGATGTGCCCAAGTCACTCGGTCTCCCCGGGCCGGTCCCTGACCCCCGCCCCGTCACTGCCACCCCCTGCAGCGGAGGACGTGAGCGGGGTCGCCCCCGAAAGCGGATGTGCCCAAGTCACTCGGTCTCCCCGGGCCGGTCCCTGACCCCCGCCCCGTCACTGCCACCCCCTGCAGCGGAGGACGTGAGCGGGGTCGCCCCCGAAAGCGGATGTGCCCAAGTCACTCGGTCTCCCCGGGCCGGTCCCTGACCCCCGCCCCGTCACTGCCACCCCCTGCAGCGGAGGACGTGAGCGGGGTCGCCCCCGAAAGCGGATGTGCCCAAGTCACTCGGTCTCCCCGGGCCGGTCCCTGACCCCCGCCCCGTCACTGCCACCCCCTGCAGCGGAGGACGTGAGCGGGGTCGCCCCCGAAAGCGGATGTGCCCAAGTCACTCGGTCTCCCCGGGCCGGTCCCTGACCCCCGCCCCGTCACTGCCACCCCCTGCAGCGGAGGACGTGAGCGGGGTCGCCCCCGAAAGCGGATGTGCCCAAGTCACTCGGTCTCCCCGGGCCGGTCCCTGACCCCCGCCCCGTCACTGCCACCCCCTGCAGCGGAGGACGTGAGCGGGGTCGCCCCCGAAAGCGGATGTGCCCAAGTCACTCGGTCTCCCCGGGCCGGTCCCTGACCCCCGCCCCGTCACTGCCACCCCCTGCAGCGGAGGACGTGAGCGGGGTCGCCCCCGAAAGCGGATGTGCCCAAGTCACTCGGTCTCCCCGGGCCGGTCCCTGACCCCCGCCCCGTCACTGCCACCCCCTGCAGCGGAGGACGTGAGCGGGGTCGCCCCCGAAAGCGGATGTGCCCAAGTCACTCGGTCTCCCCGGGCCGGTCCCTGACCCCCGCCCCGTCACTGCCACCCCCTGCAGCGGAGGACGTGAGCGGGGTCGCCCCCGAAAGCGGATGTGCCCAAGTCACTCGGTCTCCCCGGGCCGGACCCTGACCCCCGCCCCGTCACTGCCACCCCCTGCAGCGGAGGACGTGAGCGGGGTCGCCCCCGAAAGCGGATGTGCCCAAGTCACTCGGTCTCCCCGGGCCGGACCCTGACCCCCGCCCCGTCACTGCCACCCCCTGCAGCGGAGGACGTGAGCGGGGTCGCCCCCGAAAGCGGATGTGCCCAAGTCACTCGGTCTCCCCGGGCCGGACCCTGACCCCCGCCCCGTCACTGCCACCCCCCGCAGCGGAGGACGTGAGCGGGGTCGCCCCCGAAAGCGGATGTGCCCAAGTCACTCGGTCTCCACGGCCCCCGGGCTCCTCCAGGGCTGTGCGGAGACGGGCGAACGCAGCCCCCCAAGACAGGGATTCCTGCAGCCGACCTAGGTGCCTGCGTGACAAGGACAGCCCTGCGGCACCAGCCCTGTGGCCCCCCAGCCCGCGCTGCGCTCCGGGACCCGCTGCGTAAGCCAGGCCAGAACCCAGCTGTATTAGCTCATCCTGTTCCCCCCCTGCTCCCATGGGGAGCCCCTCTCCTCTGCCTCCCTCCCCACCTGAGCCCCCTTCCCCATCCCACATGGCACTGGCCACCCCAGACCCCCCCCCCTGGACCC